GACAGCCATGCAATTTATGAGGGATCGCTAATGATCTCCTGGCACTCCCACTTTTGACTTACGGCTGGTAGGGACTGTCACTTCTCCAATTCTCGAAGTGGCTTGCCGCTGTAAGTCAATTTCTCAATTTCTAAAGAAACTCAGTGGGGTTCCTTGAAGTATCATTTCTGCACTTTTCGAAAACAACACCAGATGCTTGGACGCAAGGACTAGCAGATGTCCTTGTCTGCGCAAGTTCGGTCTATCTGCTCATCGCCTACTGCTTGTTCTGACTATGTGCCTTAAACCTATATTTCTTCGTAATCCTTATTGTCTACTTGATAAGCTACTGAAATAAAAAGAGGGGGAGGGGAATGATTTTAATGGTGCGGTTACATCAATTTTGAATCTGTTATGGCCTTTATACAATTTATCTTTCGTTTCAAACAGTTATACAGTTTGTATATTGCGTACATTCCCATTAAAAAGAAGCAATCATACACCAATGCAGAATAAGAGTCATGGGAAGTTGTGTGTAACCTTTCCCATTCTTGTTCCATGATGATGCGCTCGACTTCAGCAATCTTAAGGCTTGCAATATTTAAATCATCCAAATGTGATACAATGTGTTTAGAATTTGTATTCAAATGTATGGAACTAAAATTGATCTTCATGCCTAATTCCTCACAACACTCGTACTCCAGATTCACTCCGCACATCAAGTCCTTTGCTTCCATCGAACTGTTTACAGTAACAACAGAATGTGTTTGGAGCAAAGCAGATTTACTGTAACCTTTATAATTAGTATCCATTCTTAGTTTACTCATTCCAGTTAGTGCCACTTCTGCTGGGTTCCTGTCATTACAGAGAATTGCAGTGCTCTCACTTGTTGGGATGAAATAAAGTCATTCATTGTTTTCCAGTTGTGTCCATACTGAATCAGAAATTTCTACTATGCACTTCTCGCAACTTGGGGAAATACTTTCTCTAGACTGCAATAGCTTAACCATATAGTTCTCATGTACTTGTGAAGATAGGAGTGGTTGGTCCTGCTTACACACGTATACTCTTATATTTATCTCTTTACACGTATCTAACCAACATTTGTCTGACATGAAATAATATTGTCTTGCTTTATCAATCCATAAAAACGAGTATCTAGTATCTAAGTACAAAAACTTTGTTTGATCCAAGGGTTTTGGAATAGGAATGAGTTTATATATATCAAATTGACCCCTGTTCACCAAGGGTACATGGATCACGTACGCTAAGACTCCATTACTTACATATAAATGTAAATTACACACTCTTAATGCTAAATAAGCTGAGTCCTTGCTCAATGGGAAAGGGAACATCACATCTCCTGGAAGTGCAGATGCACTCTGCATTAATGCTTCCATCAGCGAGTATGGCGAGATAACCTGAGGTTGCAACACCCCCCTTTGTGCGTTTCCTACACTGTCAATTAGTAAATCTAGTTTGCGTTGCAAAATTTGCATAGCGTTACTGACCCTAAAAATGTGACCTTCTATTTGGACCTTAGCACTGAAGGTGTCAGTTATCTCCTGTGTTCATGGTTTCAGAACACCCACATAATCAGTGATGTTACATACTCCCTCCTGAAGTAATCGTTCATTATATTCTATATCTGTTAGGGTGTTATTAATTGCCCCTAGAGTGGACTTTACCACATATAGTTGCTGCTTCATTAACGTGGTTTGTCTTCTGCGTTTTGCTCGAACAACTTTATCTGCTCATTATGATATCTCGCGTCCGCCTCGTCCACCGTCCCAAACAATATTTTGCCTAACTCCCACATAAAATTCAGCACTCTTCTACTTTTCCACTTTCCCTTGTCAGTAACTGCTTGACTCCCCGTTATCTGTTTCAGCAACTCCTCCGTTTCTGTCAACTGATATAGCTTTTCCCTAGCGTCATTATTGTAATTAATGCAACCTGCCCAATTCCTAACGAATTTGGTGTGGCACAGAACATCTGTGTGGTGCAGGTACCGTCGTAGAGCAAGAGCTTCATGATGAATTTTGTCTAGATTTACATATACAATGGTCTTCCATTCCTCACTGTACAGGTTTGCTACGCCCTTGCTTTCATAGTAAACACCGGGTGACTCATCATACCTCTCCAAGGAGTACCCTAATTCTTTTTGTGCTGTAGCAGTCAGAAATACTGTTACAGACAGCAAGATTTTCACAGTTGCCGCGGGTTGCATCACCATCTGAAATTGAGAACAAAGAAAAGCAAGGTATCTCCTTTCCCTTTAGTTGCAATAACAAAATTTCGTCCTACACGCTACTTCCCTCTTGATCCGCTTCCCGAATGCACTCTAACTTACCTACCTATCTCTCAGATTATACTGAGTTATCCTACTAATAGTTCATTGCTACACACGCCATTTATTTAGAAAAAAGTTTTCAATCTGTTGACGTGCACTTGCTGTGTACAGCGCCCCTTCTTGATAGTAGCATTTACCCCGTTTACGGATAACACTTCATAGGGCCCAATGTACTGAGGACTAAGTTTCTTCGATCTACCTCTGCGGACTGTTTCGTCATACAGCAACACCTGCTGCCCTACCTCTAATTTAAATGGTTCTATCCCCTTGTCATACTGTTCCTTGCTCTTTTCCTTGCGTAAGATTAGTTTCTGTCTTGCCACTTTGTGCGCAGTTTGTAGTCTCCCCTTTAACTCCGTGAGGTAGTCCTCGTAATTGTACTGTATGCTGGGACTATCTCTTAGTGCGGATGGCACTTCTGACTTGAGTCCATACACCAGTTCGAACGGTGTGAGTTCGGTAGCGGCATGTGTAGTTGTGTTGTACATGTAAACTGCATACGGCACAAATTCATCCCAGTTACGTTGATCTTCGCTTACGTAGTGGCGGAGGTACTCCGACAGAACTCTATGCCTTCTCTCTAAACTACCATTGGACTCTGGGTGAAATGCTGTGGTCTGCATCTTTCTGATCCTTCGTAACTTGCAAACGTTCTTAAACAAATTACTCAGAAAGTTTGAACCTTGGTCAGTCAGAATTTTGGCAGGCGCCCCAAATTTCAAAACAACATTTAATACGAACGCCTAGCGACAGTTTCTGCATCTTGCTGCGGAAGCGGTGTCGCTACTATGGATTTACTAAGTTCATCTTGGAACGTTAGTATGTATTTATTTCCTGATTCACCCTCTACCAGCGGCCCTATGATATCCAAGGACACTTCTCAAAGGGATGACTGGCTGTTGTGGTTATTTCCATAGGAGCTTTCTTTTTCGCCCTGAGTGCTTTATTCAACTGACACTTAGTGCACTTTCTCACATACTCCTCTATTCCTTCCTCCATATTTGGCCGATAGTAATGCTGTCTAATCGCCTGGTATGTCTTGTTCATACGACGATGACCCCCCGAGAATTGAATCGTGGTTTTCATGCAATATTTTGCCCTTCATCTCATCTATTTCCTCTGAGTCACTCCCTTCCCTATTAAGAGCACCTATTGTAGACAAAGCGTCTGCGTTTGAATTTTGTGATCCAGGTTTATATACTACTTCATAGTCGTATCCTCGAGTTGCAGGCGCCATCTAAGCAATCTCGAACCCGGGTCTTTCACGCTCATGATCCAGGCAAGGGGTCTGTGATCACTAACAACCTTGAACTTCCTACCATACAAATATGGCCTGAAATACTTAATTCCCCAGACAATGGCTGCTAATACCTTCTCCACCGTACTGTAGTTCTTCTCGGCTTTATTGAAGCTACGACTTACATACGCAATTGGTCTGTCTTTACCTATCTCTCCCTGAGACAGAATCGCCCCTGCACCTTCGTTTGACGCGTCAGTGGTCAAGATAAATTCCCTGAAGAAATCAGGGTACTGCAAGATTGGCTGTAACATTAGCTTCTGCTTCAAGATTTGAAATGCATTTTCCTGTTCTTCCTCCCATTCGTACTTAGCGTCCTTCTTCAAGAGTTTGTGCAGTGGAGCTGCTATTTTGCTAAACTGCGGGACAAACCTCCTATAGTACCTGCTAGCCCTAGGAAACTTTTCAATTGTTTAGCTGTTTTCGGAGTAGGGAAATTTTCAATCGACTCTGTCTTCTTGGGTTCGGGTCGAACCCCGTCCTCTGAGATTACGTAACAGAGGTAACTGACCTCCTTTCTTAAAAATTCGCATTTGTCCGGCTGGAGCTTCAGACTATATTTTCTCATGATTTATTCTGACCGTCTTACAGTGCATACATTTATTCACCTTACACTTCTCTCTCTTCTCTCTCTCTAGTGCAAGAGAGAAGAGTAAGGTGAATAAATGTATGCACTGTAAGACGGTCAGAATAAATCATGAACATAAATCAGTGCAACAGGAAGCTAAAATATAACATTATATTTTCTCAGCCTTCCAAACACGGTACGCAATTTTGCGTCGTGCTCTGCTAAGCTATTTGCATATAGTATGATATCGTCCAGGAAGACGAAACATCTTGTGCCCGTGAGGCCACTCAAGATGGTGTTCATGAGTCTCATGAACGTAGCAGGTGCTGTCCGGAGGCCAAAAGGCATTTTCCGGTACGCCCAGTGCCCCTGCTTCGTACTGAAAGCCGTCTTGTCTATATCTCTCGGGTCCATTTCTATTTGGTGGTAACCCATGGCTAAATCTAAACAGGAACATTATTTAGCCTGTCCTAGTTGGTCTAGGGTCTCAGTGATATCCGGTAAGGGATAAGCATCTCCTACCGTCTTCTCATTTAGCTTTCGGTAATCTACTACAAGCCGGAATTTCTGCTGGCCACTAGCATCCGCCTTTTTAGCTACCACCAAAATCGGACTGTTCCATGGCGAGTTACTTTCTTGAATGACTCCTTCCTTCAATAATTTCTCTACCTGTTTCTCTACTTCCACTTTCTGGGTTTCAGGATATCTATAGGGTCTCGTGTTTAGGCCTCTTTTATACTTGCATGCCGCATGCCACATGCCACATGCCTGAAGTCAGGCGTGCGGCGGTTAAGTATAAAATGGTTTTGTCAGTCGAGCGTGTGCCATGGCAGGGTTCGCAACTAAAGCGGTCGCTGCTGCATACCTGTATGAGAAGATGGCAAGAAAAGAAAAGAAGAAAAGGCGTTTCAGTGTTCATCCTCTCAACATCCAAAGAGACTTGAAAGGAGCTTTCATAACCCTGTACGCTGACTTACGAGAAGATGAAATAAAGTTCTTCAATTATTTTAGGATGAGCCCCAAAACATTCGACGAATTATTTGGGAAAGTTGAAAGTCATTTTCGTATTACAAGGACCCACTCCATGCCCATTAGTCCAATGGAGAGACTTTGTGTAACTCTGAGGTAAGCTTATTTTCTGTTTCATATAGACATAGAAAGTACAATTAAAACCTCCAAGGTCAGATTATTGAAACATTATTTTAATTATCACATAAACAAATACATTATATTTAGAAGTTTAAACTAACTAATTAACTAACTAACTCCATGGAGCTGAGCACTACTCGAGAGGCAGTTTTATCTTTCAAAAATGTTCATTCTCTCTTATGGATGGACCTGGATCAGATTGTTGTTTGTGGCTGTAAATGATTTGGGATGGATCTGGATTATATGAATGATATTGCGGATATGAGGCATGAGAACCAATTGGAGTGGGCGGTGCATAATTTCCTCGTTTTATTTTCGTTATCAATTGTAGTACCCCACTTTGGAAATCCAGTTTTTGATCTTCGTCAAACCCTCTGACATGTGGGAGCAGGGATAACAAGAATGCCCGGTCAGCGTCTTCTTCTGTTTCTTTGCTGCTTTTTAATAGAGCCAGAAGGTTTTCACCAAAATCGTCCAGTTTTTGTTTCTTTTTCTCCCGATTCTTGACAGATTCGGTGAACTTCCTTCTGGCTGCATCTTGAGCATCTGAATCGTCATCACGAATGTCATCTTCGTTAGTTTCACTATTATGAAAAACTTCACTAATATCCTCATCTTCTGCAGCTTGTTCAAAGTTAGAAATGGTAGACCTTTGTTGTATTTTGTCTAGAAATTGCATTTGTTCATAATATATGTATCTAATTGCCTTGCATGGCGCTGACCCAGATTTCAGAACTTTAACTTTTCCCTTCGCCTTCATGTAGGAATCCCTTGAGGATTTCCATCTGGAACGAACTTTTTCAACTGAAAAGAAACAGTTTAAATTAATAATGTATACGAGTAGATGCAAGTATATACTCGTAATTAAATCAAATTATGTGCATACCAACTAACTTTTTCAAAAATCTTATTTTCAGATATCTTGCAAGTGGAAATACATTCACCGATCTTCACTACTCATACAGAATAGGCATAACAACTATATCTAAAATAGTGCGTGAAGTATGTATGATTTTGTGGTTGGTGCTGAGAAACGAGTGCATGACTGAACCATCTTTAGAGAGATGGAAAGAAATCAGCCTTGTCTTTGAAAATAAAGCAAACTTTCCCAACTGTCTGGGGGCAGTTGACGGGAAGCATGTTCGTTTAGTGAGACCACAACACAGTGGGTCACTTTTTATGAACTACAAACATTTTTTTTCTGTTTGTCTGATGGCCATTTGTGACGCCAATTACTGTTTTACTTTCATTGACGTAGGGGCTTATGGGAGAAATTGTGATTCCACTGTATTTCAAAATAGTTTATTTTGGTGTAAGATGACTAACGGAATGCTTGACATCCCTCCACCAAAGCCACTACCAGGAACTGTTAACCCTATACTGCCTCATGTATTAGTTGCAGATGAAGCTTTCTCTCTCAGTGAACATGTGCTAAGACCTTATTCCAGGAAACATCTGAATCACAACAAGAGAGTATTCAACTATCGGTTGACCCGGGCTCGAAGATATGTTGAGTGTACTTTCGGGATTCTAAGCAACAAATGGCGAATTTTCCATCGCCCTTTAAACGTTGAAACAAATCTTGCTGTGGACATTGTAAAAGCCTGTTGTGTTCTGCACAACTTCATTAGAGTCAGAGACGGTTTCGATTATGAAGACACACTGACAGTGGTGGGGTTCGAAGATTTCAGACAAGGGCTATGCAACAGAGGAGGTGGTCAGTCGAATGCTTCAATAAGGGACAATTTTTCACAGTACTTCTTGGGTGTTGGTAGTGTGCCGTGGCAGGAATCAATGATTTAAACTATGAAGAATTAATTATAAGAGTATTATGTGTTGTGGTTTGTAATTTCGTCATGTAACAAAAACAAGATCAGTGCAATTGCCTGTAAATTAAATAAACAAGAAACCAAATAGAAAATAAGAACTCACCTAATTTTTTCTTTAGATTGTCATCAGCTTCATCAAATGTAGGGATGATATTGCTACAAATCTCTTCCCACGCTTTATTCCGCAGATCTCGGTTTTTGTAGTCTTCCTTTCCTGGGTTCCATAACATAGGTCTAGATTGCACTTCACTAATCAGCACCTCTGTATCAATTGCATCCATTCTCCAAGCTAGCACTTTGCAAGACTACAAGCTAATCTGAACTGAACTGAACCCAACCGCTTGGCATGTAGCATGAAGTATAAAAACTCCCGTTAGGTATTGGTCCCAACCGCGTGGCGGGACACGCTAGGCGGTGATGGCCGCACGCCCGTCCCGACACGCCTCAGCCGCATGCCGCGCGGGTGAAAGTGACCGCTCGACGCGAGCAGGTAAGTATGAAAGGGTCCCATTTAAACAATGTTAATACACCCGCCTGGCATGTGGCATGTGGCATGCGGCATGCAAGTATAAAAGAGGCCTTATTGGTTCGGTCCCTGGCTCGACGTGTATGGAATGACGGGTTGCCTGCGTGCTACTTAAAATGTCTCCCGACAAATAGAACACGTTTTGATAATCTTGACACGTCCCTATCAATAATCTCTTTTCTTCATCATTCAGATGATCTAATCTCAGCTGTTCCAAGATTCTCTTTTCCCTATCCTTTCGCTTTTCTTCAGTCGCTCCTCTGGAATACTCTACTGGTTCGACCTCGTTTAATTCTACTAAGGGCTCCTGAATTTCTGCCTCCTCGTCGTTCGTATTTAAAATGCTAGTTATCCCATAACCGTGTATCACTTTGGTTAATGACCCTGCCATAAAAACTCCTTCTTGAATTTCGCATTTATCTAGGATCCCCACTAATGGCGACCCTTGCTTCACCGGCAGCTTGACAACACATTCCAATCTCCGCGGTAGGATCATGTTCCTGGTCTCTCGCATCTTTTCTGTCTTCGCGATTTCTGTTTGGTTAGCATTCACCATCTTGATCATCTCCTCATTTAGCTTAATGCATTGAATGTCATAACATATTTGTGCCTTTGCATTTTGAAAGAAATCCCTTCCTAATATCCCGTCACAAGGAATATCTATCTGCTTTTTCGCTAACTGAAACTCGTGCGTAATCGAACTATTCGCGAGGTTAATCTCAGCCTCTATCACTCCATGTGTTTCTATCAGGGATCCGCTTACGCTTTTCACCCTTACTTTTCTTTCTGGGTCATATTCTGTTGATTCTATCAGTTTCTCTCCCTTGAGGACACTAATGTCGGCTCCCGAGTATATGAGCAAAAACAACTCACCTCTCTTGCTAATGTTCACTCTTAGCTTGAGGAATTCACAATCATTCCGTCCCATGCAGCCTACTGAGTAGACTGGACCGACGGTCGGCTGCCATTTCTCCGATGGTCCTGATTCGTTTCCCGAACCGTTACTCCTCGATTTCCCTTTATTAATTTCCGGTCCATCTGCCTTTTCCCTAGCATTTGCACATTCCCGAGCTAGTGCCCCTTTTCCAAACAGTTGTAACATACAATATCCCGACTGGGCCCTCGACTTCCGTGCCTTCCCGAAAAATGATTGACCTTTGCGTCCTTCTTGCCTTTAAGAAAGCACCTGCTCGTCACATGGTTGTTCCTGCCACAATTACTGCATTTCAAACTATTCGAACCCATGTTTGGACATTTGTACCTCTCAGTCTTTGAAATTATAGCACTTTCTTCCTCCAAGGCTGTCTCTGCTATTTCATCGAATTTGTCATGATTTCGACTCTTTACAATTGTTTGTATCCTGTCTGAATACAGACACTGCACAAAGCAAATATTTCTTAACCTGTCTGAGAGAGTTAAGATTCCGGCTCTCTCCTCTTGCTCGCAGTCTTGCAAAGCAGCTTCTTTAAATTTGGATCCCAATTTCTGAATGCGCTGGATCCAGTCAGACACACCCTCCCCCTAAGTTTGCTTGGCACTGAACAATTGATTAGCATGGTAATCTAGCGTTCTTTTCTCGGTATACGTGTTCTTTAAAAACTCCCTTAATTCTCCACAATTTTCCAAATTTCTATGAGAAATTGCGGTTTTTGTCTCTCCGCTAATTCTTGTTAAAAGAAACTTATACAACGTGGTTGAGTTCCTAGTGTCAATAACTTCAAACGCTGTGTCTACATTCGCTATAAAAGCGAACACTTCCCTTCTTTCGCCCTTGAAAGGAGTTATAAGCTTTAAAGCTTCACTGATTGCTACATATTCTGTCATAATGGCAGTACTACTGTCCGCGTTTACAACCTCAGTATCTAAATTTGGATACAGGTTAGGCATGGATTGAGCAAGCACTCACCCTTTCTGAAGTTCTCTGTACGCCTGCCGCGTAGATCGCTTGCAGCACGTTGGAGCCTGCCGTGTAGACCAACCGCAGCGCTATGGACTAGCCCACACTACGGTACGCCCGTTGCCACTTCTCCGGTCTGGAGCGACCCTCGATCCCGAACTGCCGCTACTGCATCCATGGGACGTAGAATCCTGGCTGGAAATTCCACACTTCCCACTGGCGGTTTCCCTATCGGGATTCCTTCAGCTTTTCGCACTCTTAGCACAGTTACAATTCCGTTTTCCAATACTTCACACACACGTGACGTCGATGTGTTGATATTGTTGCCAGTCTGCTGTTCACACACGCACGCACCACAACAACAACAACAACCCCACACACCTGACACCAGTGTTGTATCCCGGTATTTCAGGGATACTCAGGTTCGCCGAGCGGTGAGCGATTCGATGTACGGGGTTGGGATTAGGTGGGAAGACAACAGCAAGCAATTGGATTTAACTGTGCTGTACTGTTAGAATAAGACATGCTTAATGCAGCACATAGAAATGGGGCGGGCACTTGAAATACTCCCTACAAGGGGAGAGGCCGCAGTCCTGCCCGTCTAACCCTTGTGATAACTGGGGTCCAACTCTCTCTGTGTCTCGCCCTCACCTCCAAGCTGCAGTCTCCCCTCGTGCCCCAGTCCGTCTGGGTTCTGTCCTTCACACCTGTGGAAGGGGAGAAGACCACACACATATTTTTTTAGTCTCTGCCTTGGTTGCGATCCGGTCCACAGCTTGGAAAGAATATTTAAGGTGCCCAAGAAATACAAAAATATAGTACACAACCCACTCACACTTTTACGTATGCAATACAAGACCGGGGACTATCATAGCGAAATGAAGGCGACAAATTATCAGAAGTGGCTAACAGAGAACCTTATTCCGAATCTGCCTCCACAATCAGTTCTTGTTGTGGATAATGCCCCATATCACAACGTGCAGTTTAATAAGGCGCCAAGCAGCCAGACCACGAAGGCCAAGTTGATGGAATGGCTTACAGTGAACAATGTGTCATTTCATGATGGAATGCTCAAAATTCAGCTCTATGACCTGATAAAGGTACATAAACCCCTCCACAAAAACTTTGTAATGGGCAACATAATGGCTGCATATGGACACACGGTATTACGACTTCCACCTTATCATCCAGACTAGAGTCCGATTGAACTCGTCTAGGCTGATGTTAAGCAGTTAGTAGGGACGGAAAATGTCTCATTTCATTTGGATGACGTGGCAAAGATGTGTGAGAAATTAGAGAATAGAGAATTTGGAAAAAGTTTGCGACCGCACCGAAAAGAATGAAAAGGAATGTATTGAAAAAGAGGCAATTAGAGAGAACACTATAGAAAAATTATCATCCGACGTTTTGAAGACAGCAGTGACAGCGACTCCAGTGATGATACAACTGAACTCAGTGAAAACAGTAACTTGTCTGGAGTGGAACTGTTAGACGAATAATTAGTATTGTGTTAGGTTTATGTGTATTTTAATTTTGCGCTGCTAGAGTAGTGCAGCATATTGTGAGTAAATTAGTTCATCATAACAAGATGTTAAAAAGCCTGAATTGTGACTGATAGGATTAAGTTCCAGTTAAATTCATCCTGCTGTCGGAGAGCAACTTCCAACCCCACAAGCAGCCAGCCTACAATTGTTCTCTCTGCATACGAAGTAAGTTCGTAGCATAGACTCGCTCTCATGCGCTGACAGTGGACACCGGCCAAAAAGTATCGGCCAGCCTGTAACTGTGGGTGTCGTGTAGTCGATGCACAAGACCCTCCGCGTGGTTTTTGGAGGGTAGCTCCTTGTCGGGGGAGATCACCGAATAGCGGGTCTCTTGTTAAGCTATAAAATCATGTCACAATGTGCAGTAGTTTCCATTATTACAAAGGGTTATAATCCACAGTCTATTGATCAGTAGACGTAAATCATAAAGGCATTTTATACGCTCCCATAAAAAATAAATATTTTAGACACAAAATGGCATGAAGAAATTTTGTAATGTCATATATTGCAAGTAAGTTTCTACATTGTGTTTAATAAAATACTAGCATTCTCATGAGGAAAAATCTGCAACTTAAATTTCAGGAACTCTATTAATTGTTTGTGGTAGTCAGTTATATTATACATCAATTTGATGTTGGATAATAATTTCTGTACTCCTTTCCTATATCACTTTCATATTTTTATCTCTTTCACTACATCGCTTGGCTGTCCTACCATCATTCCCTTTCATTCTTTCAAGTTAAACGATTATGTCACCTCCATTTTTCTGCACCTTTATCCATTTTTTTACCTTCATCTCCTTCGGCCTTTTCTCTCACATTCCTTTCCCACTCTATTTGCATGTTCATCCTATCATTATCCCTCTTCCTTAGGTGGATGGAAGATACTTCAGGCTTTCCCCGATATCATAGTAATGACAGAATACAGCTCGGTGTTAAGGTTGAAAACTTTATCATACGAGGGTGCAAATGGAAAGAAACCGAAAGTAACAGAAAATGTAACAATTTGTGATTACTGATACCTTCACTACTACGTGTAAGTAACCGAAGCAAGTAGATGGATCTGGACATAATGCGAGTGAAATACGTTAATAAATGCGAGCTTCTCCAACATGCAACCCGTTTTGGTCCATCGCTTACCGTTTAGGAATTATGAACAGGGCCCAGGATTTTGATGACATGTCATCTTCTTTCCTTTGTATCCTATTCGATGGCCGTAAATATATAAATCCCGGAGATGAGCTGCTGGTTACAGAAATGTAACTTTTATAGGTCATTTTTGGTCATTTTTAAGTTTTAGGTCAGTTTTTCGATTTGGGGGCAATTTTTCGGTAAATTTTTGGACTTTTAAGGGTATATTTGTCATTTTAGCCATTTTAGGGAATTTTTCTTCACATGTTTTCAGAAATGTGAATAACATGCAAGTAAAGTGTTCTTTCTCTTTCTTCTGCCTCTACAAATTCAGCCTGCAGCTGCACCCCAAGTAACTCCTACCACAGTATGAAATAATAAGTTGTAATAATGTCCCGTCCTTTCGGTCCGTTTTGCGGAAAGTGCTGACATCTTAAGCTGGCAGAAGGGTATGACAGCGGTCACTCACACTGCAGTCATTTCCAAGTTCTGTGCAATTTTATTAATATTTCTACTCGGAATCCCTCGCTTTTTATGACATGCACGTATTGTTGCTCAATAAAACTCCGCCTGTCTTTAGTTTCTCGCCATTGACCGTACAGACAAAGATGCAGTTGACGAAAGGTTCTCAGTGTGAAAAGTTCACTTCTCTGTTACACTAGACTTATTCATTTTATCGCGATGCCTAAAGCAAAGCCAACTAAATTGTGTCACTTAAAGCAGACTGTAGCTGAATTTGGAGATGATATATTTTCAACTGACGGTGACATTTTATACTGTAAGATGTGTGATACAAAATTAGCAGCAGAAAATATTTCACGGTAGAACATATTGGCAGCAACAAGCATATACGAGCAGTGCAAATTTCGAACAAAAAGAAATCTGTGCAAATGTTACTGCAACAGTGTTCATTGGAAGGCGGAAATAAGTCATCGGATTTTTTCACAGATCTGTGTGATGCTCTGGTGTCCGTAAATATTCTCCTTTGAGCTCTGAGGAATGAAAAACTGACAAATTTTCTGGAAGTGATTTGTGATCGTTCTATCCCTTTCCAAGTGCTACAACAATATCCTGGAAATGGTTAGGAATAAAGTGCATGGGAAGAAGATATTCGTTTCTATTGATGAGACCTGCGATACGGAGGCAAACATCATCATTGAAACCTTGGAAATTGATGGACCAGGTGAAGTGTTTCTGCTTAGGAGTGAGGTGCTAGAAACCGTTAATCATTCCAAATTTGTAAACTCTTGGACAGGTCGATGTTTCTACTGTGGTTAGAGGGTATACGACACGACACGATACGACATCGTCTTGCTTTTTGTGACCGATGCAGCCTCATATATTTTAAAAGAAGGCAGGTCAATAAATTCGTTTTATACGAAATTGGTGCACGTTACTTGCCTAGCACATGCACTGCATAGAGTGACGGGGGAAGTGAGATCAAGATTTCCTCAAGTGAATGCTCTCGTATAGTGGACGAAGATTTTCTTCAAGGCTCCAGCTCAACAACGCGAGGCTCGAAGTGGCAAATAAAAGAAGAAACCCCAAAAAAGAG